CCCTGTGGGGGTCAAACAACCCTTTCACAGGAGTCACCAATTGATAATAGTAGCAAAATTACAGTTATGAAGTAGCAACGATAATAACTTTATGGTTGGGGGGTCACCACCACATGAGGAACTGTATTAAAGGGTCGCGGCCTTAGGAAGGTGGAGAACCACTGCTTGATAAGATTTGTCCAGGGCCTATTGAGCAAGGCAATGAAGGCACCACTGACTGAACATGACTCCTGATGGTGTGACCCCTCAGTCCTTGTACTGTCCAGAGAGGATACCCCCAGGCAAGCCAAGAAGCGAGACTGCCCCACCTTGGGTGGTTGTGGAGGGGAGGAGGCAATCCACTTTCCAGTGCCCTCTGTCTGTGGGCAAGGTTGTTCTCATCCCTCCTTCATGGCCAGAAGAGGTGCAATGGAAGTTTAGTCCACTTGAGACTCTACAAGTGGGTTTTGGGTTTCCACCATCAGCCACAGTCTTCTGCAAATGGGTGCTCAGAATTTAGTCGTTAAAATGCATTTCTCCATGTACTTTTGACAGATAGATATGTAACAAAGTCATGCATTATACTGTAAATTCATCTGCATGGACTTAATGATTGCTTCAAAATAAACTTTCAGGTAGAATTCACAAATCTAGGAGGTGCACAGAATCAACACACAACAGTCAAGTCTAAGAGCAAGAGGCTAGTAAGTAGAAAAGCCTGAGTTCAAAGCAGGTCTGTCAACTCCAGATTTTCATCTTTACTATTCTACCTCTCATGTTGCGTACCTGATTTTTTCTCATTGAAAATACATTATGAACATCATGGCTGACAATATTTAAACACGTAACTACTATCCTTTGTATAGATTTAAAAATATCTCCCACTTCTGTTTTTATTGGATATTTGGGTTTTATTTGACTTGTTTTGAATTTTTCATGAAAATTTGCAATGCATAAGGTTTCGTAGAGAAATAGAACCAGTGAAAAAAAAGTACATCTTCATATAATAGATATTTCTACCTATCTATCATCTGTCAGTCTATAGAATTATCTTAAGGACTAGTTTCATTCCATAGTGGGTACCAGCAAGTCCAAACCTGTAGTTCAAGCAACAGGTTGGAAAATCCTGCAGGCTTGAGTCCCCAAATCTGTAGGTCAAGTGATAAGAATAATGGAAGAATTCTGGCAGAATATTCCCTCATAAAACCTCGGGTTTTGCCCTAATACCTTCAATTGGTTGAATAAGGCCTTTCTATACCTTCTACAGCATGGAGAGCAATCGGCTTTATTTAAAGGCAATTGATTTTATCATGTGTGGCTAGTCCACAACAATTATCTGGACGAGTGTTTGACCAAACAACTGGACACTATAGCCTGGACAAACTGACACATAAAACTAGTTATCCCCCTTGCCATCATATGTACCTATGCTTCAGCCCTAAAACCTCACTTAAAAAATAAATAAGTAAGAGAATAGACATCAGATGATAACATTTTAAATCATAAAATCTTAGACACAAAAGATATGCTAGGAGTTTAGTCTCGTCTACACATTGTGGGCTTTGTCTTTGAGCATTCCACAATTATTTTGTAATTTATAGGAGGCAGAGCTAGGAAACCAAAGACGGTTTTTAAATATTCCTCAAGCTCTGAGCACAGCTCAACCTGCTCAAAAACACAGTCAGCAAAAGAACGCCTCCTTGGAAATTCGGAGACCTTGGCAAGCTTTCAACATACTTGACACAGGTCACGAAACGATCTAGAATTTTTGGTCACTGTCCACCTGGACTGGGTTTTCTTTGGGGGTTGGCAGCTGAGTACATAACTCTTGTTCTCTGCAGTTGCTTAACCACCTGGCTCCTTTGGGGCTTTGGATATTCAGCAAGGAGAAGTGAGGTGGTCTGTGGGAGGACCAAAATGCAATTAGGAACAAGAATGAAATTAAGTACTTTTTCATTGCCAACTCCTGGCAAAGGGGCTTTGAGCCTAATGCTATGTGGCTCCTTGACTTCCAGAAATTCACAAGCATTTTCTTACCCCTGAGTTCCTTCAGGAGCAGCCCTAAGGGTGCACTGGTAAAGTGCTTGGTTCATCACCAAAAGGTGGATTGTTTGATACCGTCAGCTGCCCCATAGAGAAGAGTGTGGCTCTTGGTGTCCATAAAGATTACCAAACCCACTTTTCGGTTGTCTGTCCCCCAGGGAGGAGGTCACACACAGTTCCATGTAATCGGTTCCCTCTTTCCTACCCCTTCTCCCATTACCCTCCCTGTTTTGCCACTCACACCACTGGTCCTATAGGGCTCATCCATCCTGGATTCCCTGTATTTTCAGTTCCTATCTGTACCAGTGTACCTCCTCTGGTCTAGCCAGACTTGCAAGATCGAATTCGAGTCGTGGTAGTGGGATCTGGGAGGAAACATTTAGGAACTAGAGGAAAGTTGTATTTCTCATCGTTGTTACATCGCACCCTGACTGGCTCATCTCCTCCCCGAGAACCCTCTGCAAGGGGATCTCCAGTGACCTACTAATGGGCTTTGGATCTCCACTCCACACTCCCCCCATCATTCACTATGGTAAGATTTTTTGTTCTGATGATGACTTACACCTGATCCCTTCGACACCTCGTGGTTGCATAGGCTGGTGTGCTTCTTCTATGTGGGCTTTGTTGCTTCTGAGCTTGATGGCCGCTTGATTACCTTCAAGCCTTTAAGACCCCAGGCGCTATACTTTTTGATAGCCGGGCACCATCAGCTTTCTTCGCCACATTTGCTTATGCACCCATTTGTCTTCAGGGAGACGTCAGACAGGGCAAGAAATGACAAAATACCCATTTATAAACTATCAAGGGCTCATCCGGGAGGGGGGAGTGGAGGGAGGGGAAAAATGAGGACCTAATGTCGGGGATTTAAATGGAGAGAAAATTTTTTGAGAAACGATGTACAAATGCGCTTTACACAATTGATGTGTGTATGGATTGGGATAACAGTTGTATGAGCCCCTAATAAAATGTTAAAAAAAAAAAAAAAAGATTGCCAAACCCCAGAAAATCAACTCACTGCCATTAAATCAATGCCAACTTAGAGTGGGCCTGCAGAACAGGCTAGAGCGGTTCTTATGAGTTTCTGAGACGGAAACTCTTTACAGGAGTAGAAAGTCACTGAAACTCTTCACAGGAGTAGAAAGCCACTGAAACTCTTCACAGGAGTAGAAAGCCACTGAAACTCTTCACAGGAGTAGAAAGCCACTGAAACTCTTCACAGGAGTAGAAAGCCACATCTTTCGTCTGCAGAGCGGCCAATGGTTTGCAACTGCGGAGCTTGCCCAATGCGTAACCACCCCACGACCAGGGCCTTGGAAACCGTCTGAGGCAATTCAACCCTGTTCTCTAAGGCTGGAATCCACTTCATGAGGATTTAGGTTGCGATTTGAGTCTCTTTAACCTTCGGGACACTGGGATTTAGCTGATCTTGAAAGAGGAAATGACCTTCCACTGAATAAACAATACTTTTGTACCCATCAGAGACAAATCCTACTGAATAAGGGCAGCTGAAACGACCAAAGGAAACCAAATGAAGGAAGCCTCAAAGGTTACTGAAAGAACGGAAATGTATAAATACATACATTCTGCAAGTGAATGGCAAACAGTATCCCATGATTGCAAGAGAATTTAGTAATCTGCTTGGGGCATTGACAGGGAGAATGGAGAAGAGGCTTAAGAAGAAGATGCTATTTGAGATGGTCTTTGAAGAGCACCAGTTTAGTGTTGCCTAGTAAGGTGACTGAAGGAGCCCGGTGGCATGGTGGTTATGTGTTGGGCTGCTCTCCACAAGATTCTATCCTGCCCTAGAGGGCTACTTTAAGTTGAAATAGGCTCAATGGAAGGCCATTTGGTTTGGTTCACCTAGAAGCTGCTGCACCGGGCTAGGGCTATGGGCTCCTTTGCCCCAACAATTTCTGGTGCAGCTCTGATTAATAATTAAAATATGAAATAAAATATCACTAAGCTACTATGACAACTGCCAACTTACCTTCATCTTAAGACCCAATAAACCAAAACCACTTTCTTATGAGGGCTATACACTTCAGCTGCGCATTTGAACCTCATCCTTGGAAGGGGAAGTTGAAGTCTTTCTTCATCCCCTTGATTAAGGACCTTAGATTGGTTGCCTGTAGGCCAAGATCCAGGACCCACACCAAAACGTTGGGATTCAAACTGCTGAGGAAACTAATTGTGGAGGACACAAATTCTGCAGTCCAATCCAGGGAGCCTTCAGAGTGGGGTGCTGCTGTACTCAAACCCAGCCCCCAAGCGTCCAGCACACAATAGAACACCCCGCCCCCCCACCAGGCATCATTTGCCCATTCATTCTAAACATCCACCTTTTCCCCATTAGAGGGCAATCGACCTATTGGGCTTGGCATGGTCTATGGATTTCACCGGCTCGAATCTCAGCAGTCCCAAAACAAAAGAGAGCGAGCAGGAGACCAAGCGAGAACCGGGCTGTAGCAAGTGAGCAGCGTCAAGCAGGCAGAGGCAGCTCGGGTCTGGGCTCTGCTCCCCGCCCCTACCTCTCCATTCAAGACCCTGCATAGGGGAGGCGAAAGGGCAGCGCCCGCCAGGCGGTGGCAGAGGGCGAACGGCCACGGTCACGTTCCTTCGCCGCCGCGTCCCCAGTGCCCAGTCGCCGGCCTCGCCCCTCCTCCCTCCACGCCAGCCCGGGGTTGGAGGCGCTTCCCCTCCCGCGACTGAGCGGGCTCCAGCGAGCGCGCGCCGCTCGCCGCTTGCTCTCCTCCGGCGCCCGGCGCCGGGCAGAGTCTGCAGCGGCGGGAGGCGAGCCGGTGCCCCGCACGGCGCCCCGGGCCGCGCCCTAGCCGGGCGGAGGCGCGGGCGGCTACCCGCCGCACCGGCACGCACCGCCGCGTCCCGCGCTCGAGCCGAGCCCGCCCTCCCGGCCGGGTGTGGGGTGAGCAGCCGCCGGCGCCGGCTGGGGGTCGCGTCCGCTGCCACCCCAGCTCCCGCAGGCACCCGCAGCCAACGCCTCCTCCCCGCGCCCCCAGGATGGAGCCGCCGGCCCGGCCCGAGGCTGGCGCAAGGTAAGGTGCAGCCGCCTGTTGCTTTGCGCAGAGTGCAGCCCGGTCTCCCATGCCAGATGCCTTGCTAAGCCCTGCGGTGCCCAAGGCTGTCACCCCCGTTGGGAGAAATCAATGCCCACACCCTTCCGCCCCCCTTGGTGCAGACCGCTGGGCGAGACCACCAAGCTTGGCAAAGGGGTGGAGACCCCTGCTCAATTCAGCAGCCGGTGCCTGGCAATAGTCTGCAAACTTTTGTGCCTCGCTGCCTGCCTGGTGCTCCCTGGGTTGGTGCCAGTTGCTGGTCCAGGGTGGTCTGCGCTCCCTTCCCCCAGCCCCCTTGCCTTGAGAATCTGCCTATTTCTGTGTGTTCTTGCCAGTGGACTTGACACTCGCCGCAGCCCCTAGCTCGCTGGCAAGGAGAGGGTTTGGGACTGGCAAAGCTCCTTCTGCCTGTAGGGGGTGAATAGGAGCCTAGGATGGAAACTGAGAGAGGTGGGGTTGGGGGTCAGGCGGTGACCACTGCTGGAGCTCCCTGGGGGTGGGTCCAGCCTGGCAGAGGACATCCCCAACTCTGTAAGGAAACCCTTGGAGTGGCTTGCGGCTGGGCGCTGTGGGAACTGCAAGTTCAGAACTGCTGGGGGGTAAAGGAAGTGACCGATGAAAGGACAGGTTTCCTTGCGGGGGTGGGGGGGTGGGGTGGGGGTGGGGTGTGTGCAGAGGAGCCCTAGGGGTTGGGAGGGAGATCTGCTCGCTGAGAATTGGGGTGGCAGGGTTCGGTTTAATGTGGGCCAGGAGCAGAGCCCCAGCACTGGGATCTCAGCTGGAGGAATATGGGTTTGAATCCTGGAGGCGCTGGCTCAGTGTGTAAATACCTATGGGGGAGGGGCTAGGCACCTGGAGAGACTCAGGGAGCCTGAATGGAGCCCTAGAATTTGGGCACTCATTGGGACTTGGTAAGGTCGGCTTCAGGCAGGCTGCATGGGATGGGGTGCGCTCTCTGAGAAGCAAACACATCTCCCTGCAAAGGGAAAGGGTGAAGGCATCTGTGATGGGGCGGTGACAGAGTGGTCAGATCTGGGTGCTCATCTTGGGCTGAGAGGAGTATGCTAGTCCATTTTTCCTTCTACACACCCTCCACCACCACAGCCGCGTCGGTGGACCCACTTTCACCATCCTCATAGGCGATTCAGAATCAAGGCGGTCTTCACAGTGACATGGAAGGAAGGGGGATCCAGGCCCTCAAGAGGCGGTAGCTTGTGTGCGCCTTAGGGGGAAGTTCCCAGCACCAGGAGGCTAGACAAGGTTCTCAGACAGAGCCCTGAGGCATCCGCTGCAGAGGGAGGCACCCTACCTCTCA